ATATAATAATAATAATAATAATAATAATAATAATAATAATATGGAGTGTCTCATGTCCAATCTTGGCCTTTGAGAAATCTGCATAAATCACATCCACTTGTCCCCTATTATCTAATATACCTGTAATGTACTGTGTTATTACAGCCAAATTTGTGGTAGTTGATCTGCCCTTTACAAAACCATGTTGCATGATATGGAGAAATTAAATTACAGACCGACGGATAAACAGCTGTATTCTGTTTCTTTTAGGTTAAAATTAACCATCCCATTAAAATATTAATTTTAACCCTACCGCTAAAAATAATAACTCCAACTCGTATTCTGTATGCGTTTTTTAACGGCCCAGTTAGCAGTAAGGTACAAGCTAGTGATGGGAGATTTCGAGTGAAAAATCGAGTGGTACTCGATTATTGAGATCACTCGAGATATCTCGAGATGTTTACTCCCACCACTCGAGTGATTATTACCCTACGGTTGCACCCCAAAATGTTAGTGCATACTGCAAATAGTCACTGATTGCGTAACCTTTTTTTTAGAATAAAACGAAAAAGTGGTTAGGTTTTGAAGTGCGTGAGCTTTTTTTTTTTTGCTACGCTTATAAGTAATATATGACTAATACAAACATATTTGTGCGCCGCTGGGATGAAAACGACCAATATCTCGTATCTCGAGTGATCACTCGATTATTAGAAGTACTCGATTATCAAAATTGGTCGATTATGCCCATCACTAGTACAAGCATAGATAGAATAAATTTATATTTTTCTATGGGTAAAAGACGTCGATTTGTGATAATATAACCTCGATTGCTGGATTAGTACAGTACAAATAAAGTAAACAATTTATCAGATTCTTGTGATTGAGCCTTTAGCCGAGTTATGGGGGATAAAAACTGAAACACGACAAAAGAACAGATCCGGTTAATTGTTGACTTTTTGGAAGTCAATAATATTTTACAACAAATTGCAGCCACATTAAATTGTGGTTGCAAATAAAGCTTAAAATTATTTAATTTGTAGGGCCATTATAACGTTTATAAATAATAAAGATCAATTATACCATTTGTCAAGCTAAGTTAAATGTCTCGCTAAATTTTAACATATTTGGTTAAAATAAACCTATTAAAATTTTTACAGAATACAGTATCGGAAAGTCAAAATTTTAACTGTTACCTTGACGTTAAAATTTAACCAAAAGCGTTACAGAATAGACCCGATAGACGGTTATATAAAACTATCTCAAAAACCTTGGAGAAATTTGAAATTATAGACCTGGACTGTTTAAATGCCAGAGTGAGCGCGTAAGTGCCCTCTGGCGAACAGAGTATTAAGAAAATAAAAAAATATAATAATAATATGAAAATACTTATTTAAAATTAATATGTAGGCGTGAACATTCCCACCCACCTTTTTTTTTGTAACAAAAAAAAGAGGAAATTAAATTATTAGAGAATTTATAAGAAAAAAAATAAAACAAAAGTGAAATGAATATGTGATAACTAATTATTAGGTAATGGATATAATTTAACAAATGGGCGCTTTAATATGCCATGCTGAGTCCGTATTGTTGCAACTCTAGCCACGCCATCTACACCACGATGAATATCTACCACTCTGGCTAATTGCCACTGCAGCGGCGGTACCTTTTCATTTTTTATCAACACCAGTGCTCCTGGTGCTAAAGGGTTTTCAGAATTTAACCATTTACTTCTTTGAAACATAGTATGTAGATATTCATTGTGCCAACGAGACCAAAAATCAGCATGTATGCGTTGTAAAAGCTGCCAACGATTAAGACGATTCAAGGGAATTTCCTGTAAATCATCGTCGGGAAGTGCAGATAGCGGTTCTAGCGTTAAAAAATGACCTGGCGTCAAAGCGGTAATATCGTTAGGATCAGAGCTGAGCGGGCATAGAGGGCGTGAATTTAACAAGGCCTCAATTTGCGTAAGGACTGTATAGAATTCCTCGTAGGTTAAAATTTGCTGTCCAATAACACGAGAAAGATGAGTTTTTACCGACTTTATACCCGCTTCCCAGAGACCTCCAAAGTGAGGTGCGGACGG